ATGTTGTTGGTGGTGGTGGAAGTCGCTCGCCCCCTCGCTCGCTCGTTTGCTCACTCACTCACTTGATCACCAGGTTGTGCTCTCAATTGCTCACGTGGATGTTGATGGCGGTGGGAGTCGCTCGCTCACCGACACACTCGCTCGCTCACTCATTCACTTTCTGGCATGGATATTGCTGGCATTGATGGCGATGACGGTGGTCGTGGTGGTGGTGGTGGTGGATGATGATGTTGGTGGGAGTCTCGCGTGCTCACTCAATCGCTCGCTCAGTCACTTGGAAGTTGTTGGCGGTGGTGGCGGTGGTGGTGGCGGCGGCGTGGGGAGGGGAGGTGGTGTGAACGTGGCGGCGGCTGAGTGTGGGTGGTTGTGGGTGGGTGTTGTTGCCCGTTGGCGGTAGGGCAGGGAGGTGTTAAGACAGGTGGCAAAACAGCTGAGGATTCCAGGCATAAGTGGGGGGGGGGGGGGGGTGCGCGGGGGGCTTCGCGATGTGAGTGACGGGGGTCTGGCGGTGTGGTTGGGGAGCTGCCATCGCGCGCGAGAGGTTAGATGGGCACGCTGGGTGTGCGGGACAGAACCCGACCGCGGCTGCCCGTGTACCCGTGTACCCGTGTACCCGTGTACCTGGGCACGCGCCAATTAAGGCCGGCACGACACACGAGGTGGGCTAGTGAGGACATCACCGTGCCCGGCCGCCTTTGCGTCGTCGGTGCCGCCCCAGGTGCTCATTTTAAGCCAAGTCGATCTAGGGGAGGATCCAGGACCGGTTGAGATATGCGTCACACCGATGTGGGTCCCTGGTCGAGAATCGAACCTCGCGGGTGGCTGGGTTCGTAGCGCGGCGCGCTAACCGCTGCACCGCCGCTCCACACAAAATACCAAAGATCCTCGAGCGTGCGCCATTTTCAGGGCAAGTGCCGTCAGTGAGTGTGCACAAGCTCACGCTCACACACACAGCCACGCACACACACACATCACACACATCACACACACAGTCACGCACACACACACACATCCATACATCACACACGCAGTCACGCACACACAGCCACACACACACACACAGTCATGCACACACACACATCACACACATCACACACGCAGTCACGCACACACAGTCACGCACACACACATCCATACATCACACACACAGTCACGCACACACACACATCACACACATCACACACACAGCCACGCACACACACAGTCACGCACACACACACATCACACACACACACACATCACGCACGCAGTCACGCACACACAGTCACGCACACACACATCCATACATCACACACGCAGCCACGCACACACACACACATCACACACATCGCATGCACACAGTCATGCACACACACATCACACACACACATCACACATGCAGTCACGCACGCACAGTCACGCACACACACAGTCACGCACACACACACCACACACATCACACACACAGTCACGCACACACACATCGCATACATCACACACGCTGCCACGCACACACACATCACACACATCGCATGCACACAGTCATGCACACACACATCACACACACACATCACACACGCAGTCACGCACGCGCGTGCAACGAGGAGGAGCGGTTGCGTGCAACCGCGTGCCTAATTGCGCCGGAGGTTATTTATATATTTATTTTTACGGCTATTTACTTCCCCCCCCCCCACCTGGTCTCTCTGGTGGCGGATAATTTTAGGCAGGACCCCCCCCCCCCCACCCCCCCCAGCGGAGTGCGTGACCCTGGGCAGCATCGGCGGCAACGGCTCTCCCACCTCCCTCTGCCTAGCCCCCCCCCCCCTCATCACGGGCCCCCCGAGACTCTCCCACCCCCCGTCCCCTCTCGCCGCTTGCCCGCTCGCTCCCCCCTCTTATCTCTCTGGCCGTACCTGTCCGTTTGAAGGTCACCCCCGCAGCCTGACCTTGCTCGAAGGACCGCTGAGGAGGGGAACGTGGGAGTGGGGGGGGGGGGTGCAGGGAGGTGGCTAGGAGATGTTAACTCCCTCGCCTGGTATACAGGAGGTCGTGGATTCGATTGCGACCCCTGACGCCTGCTGTATATTTGGAGTTTGCGTGTCTTCCTCTCTCTCTCATCATCATCATCATCAAGGTGGCTAGTAGATGTTAACTCCCTCGCCTGGTATACAGGAGGTCGCGGGTTCCATCCCGACCCTGACGCCTGTATTTGCGTGTCTCTCTCCCCATGGTCGCATGGATTTTTCTCCGGGTCCCTCCTGTTTTTCCCCTCCACATTTAGAATCAACGTCGCGCGTTCAGAGTATTTGGCCGCGGCTATAAATGTCCACGTGATGATGATGACGAGCCGCTTTGTTGAGCTATCATTTGTGATGGCCAGGTCGCTTCTGAAAAAGAGCTGCCATGTAGCTCAGTTGGGCCTTACCTGGTTAAAAAAAAAACAACAAGCATACAAAACTTGCCAGCAGTGGTGCGAGCGAGCAGGCGCTTTCAGGGGCTGCACCTTTACCTGTTCCACAAAGACGTCAGAACGACCGATGGGTGCTCAGCTACACGGCGAATGATGACGATGCGGTCGGCCCCCACTGTTAAGTGTCGTGCACTTTAAATATCATTCCAACACTTCTTGGACTTTATAAAGAATTTAAAAGGTGGGCTTCTGAGCCACCTCAGCCACCGCCACCCGCCGGCCGGCCGGCCGCACCCCACCACCACCGCCGCCGCTGCGAGGCCGACCGCAGCCGTGTCACTTCCCCCCAAAGTAACGTTTTGTCTGCACGACCTCGCGGCGTGCCTAGCGACAACGAAGCCGTGCGCTGCGGCGGACAGACCGCGCGGCCCGTCGCGACCGCGGCGACGAAGAATCACGGCGAAGGCCGCGACGCGTTTACGTGACCCCCCACCCCCACCCCGCCCCCACCCTGCGCCGACCCAGCCGGGCCGACAGGCCCGCGCCGCAGCTGGAAAACAACAAAGTTCTAAAATAGACGAGCGGCGGGCTCGCAGCTTCGGACGGCGCTTCGGCAGCCCGCGTGCTGGCGAGCGGGCTGTCGAAACGCCGGCTGAAAATACCGCGCCGGGGATCCTCTCTAGCGCCGTCACCGCTGCCGGATCCTCGCCGCCCGGCGAGAACCGATGTCGCCGCCTGGCGCTACGCAGAGCCGTCGCCGAGCGCTGCCGTCGGGCGTCACGGGCAAGGGCGGACGCCACGTGAAGTCTCTCTTCTCCCATGATGGCACGCGTTGTTTTCGCGACACGGATTGGACGCAAATCGACGAATGTACGAGGGAGCACATATTTTAAATTTATATATGTATGACGCGAATTGGATGTAACGCCATCGAGTGAACGGCACTTCGTCGCGCGAGTAGGAATTAGCGGCCGTGCGGTTGTGCGGCTGCCTCGGCGTAGCGTCACACGAGGCACTGGGATGCTGCTGGATGTGTCTAGATGCTACGCACGCGCCTCAAGTCTTTGTTCAGCCTGCGTACGCATATCACGTGTTATCGCGGACTGTGATTGACTCTATATTATTTATTACAGCGCGATTTCCCCATAACGTGGTTTACTTCAGGAACGCAACTACCACGTTACGGGAGAACGGGCTGTAAATACCAATTATTGGATTTCCACACCGACATTTATCCCCGCGGCTGCGCTTGTTTAAGAGAGCGTAAAGTCTGAACCGAATCTGGACCGGTTCTGACATTGAGCAGAGCCACGATCATTAAGCAAATGCTGTTGGGACTCCCGGATGTTGTTGGCATGAGCACTCCGCGCGAACCGCAGGGACCCTGTTCCCGACACGCCAAAAAGCAGTGTCGTGCACGAACTCGCCGTGCACCCGAGACGGAGCATTGTGGGTCAGAGCAGACATAAGTCGAACTCCGCTCCGCGTCTCCCGACGCAAGTGCAAATGTCTTTTATTCCATCAGCCTATTCGTTGGCTTTCCAGAACAATATTATCCTGGAGTGTTTTTTTTTTTAAGAGAGAAAAAAACCAACGCGGGGTAGCTGGCGTTGTGGGTAATTACTGTCTCTGCTCTGACGAAGAGCCTTTGCCTTACATTTGTTTCTTTTTATATATTGTTTTTTTCAAACAACTCAGGTAGATCTCGTTCTGTCCATCTGTAATGGGGGTGGGGGGGGCGGGGGGTGCACACGCGAAGACCGTCGTGAAGACGATCCAGCATAGCCTAAACGTGAGCGCAACGTCGCGTTGCTACGAGCGCGACGTCGCTCGGTAGAACAGCGGCAAAATTGCCTCCAAACGTTGCCCCCAGGCGCTGCCCCCAGGCGCTGCCCCCAGGCGCTGCCCCCCGGCGCTGCACCTCAAGGGCTGCCCCCCAGCGAGTTGTTATATCCCGATGGCCGTATTGGCTTCGTGCTGCGGGTCGAGGTGACGCGTCTGCTCGGAACTCCTCTTGCGGAGGCCCCGGACGCGAAGAGAATGCTCTGCGGAATGGGATATCGCAGAATTACATCTGAGGTCTCTTCGAGGGGGGGGGGGGGGGGGCGTGGGGGGGGGGCTCTGGTGCTGTCCACACAATTTTATGGGGAGCACCCACTGCCCTTTCCCATGCGCCTCCACTGCTAGAGGGAAATGTTTGTCACTTTTTTTTATAATTCTCAGAGCTGGAAAGTTAACGAATGTGATATGATGACCTGACTTTGGCGGTTGTTGGTGACCGGGTTGAGACCCGGCCTGCGTTCCAGGCTCAAACCTGGATTCGAACGCAGGCTCTTAGTGGGGCTGGCTCAGTGACGGCAAACTCAATCGTGCCTCTCTCTGTGTGTGTCTCTCTCTCTCTTTCCGTGTGTCTCTGTCTCCTCTTTCTCTCTCCCCCTGTTTCCCTCTGGGTCTCCGTCTACTACGTCGCTCTTTGCCCTCCCTGCCTCTCGCCCCCCCCTCTATCTCTCTCCCCCCGCCTCCGTCCGCGTCCCCGCATCTCCCTCCGTGCCCGCATCTCCCTCCGTGCCCGCATCTCCCTCCGTCCCCGCATCTCCCTCCGTGCCCGCAGACGCTGCGCAAGAAGGGCATGAACGGGTGCGAGAGCCCGGAGGGAGACGTGGATGAGCTGCTCGGCCCGCACAGCCCCATGGGACAGGACAAGTTCCTACGCGACGACGGAGACATGGCGGGGAGGGTGAGTTCCCCCCCACCCCACCCACCCCATCCACGTCAGAACATTTCCACATCAGTCGACGAATCTCTGCTGCTGCTGCTGCATCGTCCCCTCTCCCCCACGCCGACGACAAATCGGCGTGAAATGAAGCTAAAGAATTCCCAGGGTGGCGCTCTTCCGATCGGCCGCGCAACCACGAAGCGTCGGTTCCTCGACTAACGTCGGCTTCCCAAGCCGGCGATACGTGCGATGAGTCGCGTGTGCGCGCGGATGTGTTTTCCGGTGCGTGTCCGTTGTATGCGGTGTGTTCGCCTAACCCCCTTCCAGCCACTAGAGGCGCAAACCATGCACGGCCATTGCCTGAGCCACGTGCCACCCAGTTGCAAAACGCCGCGCGCGTTTTGTAAAGGCAGGAACCAAGTTGACATGGAACGTTGGGCCGACGCGAGTCCAACGGTGAACAACGACATGCCGACGTGAGCCCAACGTCGGCATGTTTACCAATCACGTTCGCGAAGAAGCGGATGCCGCGGAGCTACTGCCTGAGGTCGGTCCCTTTAAGCGGACCTCTGCCACACGCAGGAGGGGGGGGCCGCGCTTCCCCACCCGCTGTGCCAACAGAGAGCAAGGCTCGCGGCATGGCAGTCGCACCGAGTTCAGTGCGTGACCCAACAACTCACCATCGCGCCGCGTGATGCAAGCGGTCGGTTTTTGTTTTGTTTTTTGTTACAAACGCAAAATTGTGCTCGGAGCACCTCCGAAGCGCGCCGACGTCTCACCGCCCCGCGGGCGTTCGGCGAATCTGAGGCTCTCCCTTCTGTTTGCGTGCGCATTCAAATAGCGGCCGGGCTGGGACCGCCGGCTCTCCGCACCTGGGAACCCGGTTTAGACAACGGGCCGCGGCTGAAGCCCGCAGTCGAGGCCGGGATCTCAGCGGTGCCGGCTCAAGCGCTCTGACCTTTCGTGACCTCTCAGCAAGTTGGCCAGCTCCCCGTCTGGTGTTGTTGTTCTTGTCGTGTAAAGCCAGAGACAATAATTTCGCGGCGCCCCAACGCAGACCCTTGCATCTCCTCCACTCGCACCCCCCCCCACTACACAGCCTCTCACAACTCCTCCACTCCTTTGCCATGCCCCCCCCGCCGCCCCCCACAAACACCACTCCCGTGCACCTACTTTGCCCCCGGCCTCTCCGAGCATCTCGTCGCGAGCGCCGATTTCCTGTTTGCTGCACTTAAACATTCACTGCATCAACATCACTCACTGCCCTCCCTGCACCTCACCGCACCCCACCAACCGTAACCTCCTCCTCCGTCCGCACTGTCGTTCCTGTTTATGCTCGGACTCCCTGACACGCAACTCGCTCCCTTTAATCGCCCCGTGCCGGCGGGAGTCGGGAGATGTTGTTTGCGCGCAACGATGATTGTAATGATAACGCTGCTGCTGCTGCTGATGATGATGATGATGCTGCTGATGATGATTATGGTGATAATGATGATGGTGGTGATGCTGCTGATGATGGTGCTGCTGCTGGATGAGATGTTAAACGAAGCTGTTGCTGATTCTGATCACGATGATGATACTGCAGTACAGCTGATGATTATGCTGCTGATGATGGTGCTGATGCTGCTTCCATCAATAATGACTGATGGTTATTCTGCTCATAATGACAGCACTCCTGATGGTGCTGCTGTTTCTACTTGTGCTGATGATCATGATGATGCTGCTGCTTATGCCTTAACGTTGTTGGTGGCATTAACATTATTCATGATCACTGCAAACTAAATGATATTGTTTTCTGGGGTTTATGTAAATTCTTACGATCATAATATTGGTCTCTAACGATATTGGCGATCAATAATTGTGACAGTTAATGAAGATTAAAATTAAGAACAAATGTCCTAAGCACTGCTATATTGTAGAGATTATGACCATTCTGCAGAGATTTAAAAAAAATCATCATTACAAGACGATTTTTACAATGGCCACCTTTGACGAAGATGTCAAATTATCCCCGCTCGATATTATTAAACACGAATGTAATAATAACGTCAATTGATTAATCATCTTTTTTTACAGGAGGGTCCTGCCTTTGGGAATGTTTGACCGACGCACGCATTGACGTCCGCACGTCTTTAGCTGCGGGAGGTAAAACCGGGGGAACCCGTGAGAAAAAAGAAAAAAAGACTCGCACAGTGCCGGGGGGGTGGGGAGAGAGAATTACAAAACTCCCCAACGGCAGAAAAGGTCCAGAGACGGGCGAGGGAGGCGGTGTTGGGCGTGGGATCGAACCCAGGTCCCTCTTGCCGCGAGTGACGACGTTAAGAGCAGCGACGGTGCCCGCGGGGTTAATGACCGCAGGCCGCGAGGAGGGGAGGCGGTCGGGGAGCACTGCGATAATAACATCGGCGGTGACTAACACACACCCCCCCCCCCCGGCCCCCCCCCCGTCCGCATTTTCCACTCCGCTTCCCCCTTCCACTCCTCCTCTCTCCTCTGCCGCCCACTCCTCCTCCCCCACCCCTCCCCACTTCTCTCTTCCCCCCCCCCCGCCGCCGCAGGCTGGAATCCCTTCCCACGGTTTTCAGCTACCGCTGGGCATGGGCTCCGGCGGGAGCATGGGCTACGGGGTGACGGGGGGAGCGACGCTCTCCAGCCCCGGGATACGACCCGCGAGCACGGGTAACTGTTCCTCAACAATGGCGCGTGCCACACGCACCTTGCACACGCCATGTGCTTGTGCAACTCGCCACACGCACCTTGCACACGCCATGTGCTTGTGCAACTCGCCACACGCACCTTGCACACGCCATGTGCTTGTGCAACTCGCCACACGCACCTTGCACACGCCATGTGCTTGTGCAACGTGTGCCACACGCACCTTGCACACGCCATGTGCTTGTGCAACTCGCCACACGCACCTTGCACACGCCATGTGCTTGTGCAACGCGTGCCACACGCACCTTGCACACGCCATGTGCTTGTGCAACGCGTGCCACACGCACCTTGCACACGCCATGTGCTTGTGCAACTCGCCACACGCACCTTGCACACGCCATGTGCTTGTGCAACTCGCCACACGCACCTTGCACACGCCATGTGCTTGTGCAACTCGCCACACGCACCTTGCACACGCCATGTGCTTGTGCAACTCGCCACACGCACCTTGCACACGCCATGTGCTTGTGCAACGCGTGCCACACGCACCTTGCACACGCCATGTGCTTGTGCAACTCGCCACACGCACCTTGCACACGCCATGTGCTTGTGCAACGCGTGCCACACGCACCTTGCACACGCCATGTGCTTGTGCAACTCGCCACACGCACCTTGCACACGCCATGTGCTTGTGCAACTCGCCACACGCACCTTGCACACGCCATGTGCTTGTGCAACGCGTGCCACACGCACCTTGCACACGCCATGTGCGTGTGCAACGCGTGCACGCGTCCGGGTGTACAGCCATCCCTCGATGTTTTGCACCCCTCGTATGCCGTCCCAGCGTTCAGAAGGTGCTCGCTAACAGCACTCGCCCCAACAGTCCGTTGAGGCTCTACGGGGGGATCTTTGTCCTTGTCTTTTGTGGCATCGCGTTGGCTGCAATCTCGCATTCAGGATGCCGCAGTGAGCGATGTCAGTGTACAACAGCACCCTGGAGTTTACAGGTAGACCTGGTCAAGCCATTTTGCACGTACGGAACGCACGTACATACACGCGCACAAGTGGTGTTTGGGGAGTGCCTGCTTAGGCCAGGTGCTTATTTAAGGCTAAGTTTACCCAGGGGATGCACGGAATAAGCCTCAGCGTCGTTGTGGAGAATATAAAGTAATAAAAATAAACAAGCAGACTATACGCCTCCGTGTTCACGATTCACACGCACGCTTCTTGCATGCACACGCAACAAAACAAACCGCCATACGCCACCAAGTGGTGCCGGCATCACCAGAGTGCTTGCGCCAGCCTAGGTGCACTCGCACGCACACGCTGACGAAGAAAAGATCCCCCCTGTGTTGTCTTCAACAGACAGTTGGGGCAAGAAGTGCTGTTAGCGAGCGCCTGCTAGCGAGCACCCGCACCGACTCAGTGCCCCCCGGCAGCTGACGTTTACGCACGGTCGCACCGGGTACTCGTTTAAGGCGGAGTCGCCCTAGGGGACCGCTGGGAGATCTTGAGTCGACGCGCTTCGCACGCTCGCGGCCCGGCCGGTTCGCGGCACGGAGAGAGGGACGGCGGCTTGAACCTTCGCCGGGCCGGAGCGCGCTCGCACGCGACGTGATCCCCTCGCCGCCGCATTCTAAATCACTCGCGCCGTGATAGCGCCGTGATTGCGAGCGAGCGAGCGAGCGAGCGTCGCCTTCGCGCGGCGATAACGGGGGTGGCTTTTACTGACCGCCGTGTCGAGAGTTGGCGGGGAGGTGGCCACGCGGTGACAACACCGGCGCGCAAAAACACCGCTGTCCGCTCACTCCGGAGGGAAAGCGCGCGGAATTTCTGCGAAATTTGTAAACGGGATTTTTAAAAAAAAACCGCTTCGGTTTATCTTTTCTGCACGCTCCCACGGCACCATTGCCATCTCTTCCCAGCATCCTCCTCATCGTCCCCCATCCTCCTCGTCGTCCCCCATCCTCCTCGTCGTCCCCCATCCTCCCCGTCGTCCCCCATCCTCCTCGTCGTCCCCCATCCTCCTCGTCGTCCCCCATCCTCCCCGTCGTCCCCCATCCTCCTCGTCGTCCCCCATCCTCCTCGTCGCGCCGTCGCTGTGCAGAGGCCCCTCCTGATCCACCGCCCGTCCCGTCCGCGAAACGCTTTTAGTTGAACAGAGGAAAACCTAATTACCGATATTACGTCGTGAACAACAACAAGGCTCGCTGGGGTGGGGGGGTAATGCGTGCGTGTGTGTGTGTGTGCACGTGTGTGTGTGTGCACGTGTGTGTGCACATGTGTGTGCACGTGTGTGTGTGCACGTGTGTGTGCACGTGTGTGTGCACGTGTGTGCACGTGTGTGTGTGTGTGTGCACGTGTGTGTGCACGTGTGTGTGTGTTCACGTGTGTGTGCACGTGTATGTGTTCACGTGCACGGCTCAGTGCCTTGTGCGCACTGGTGCAGTGCGGTCAACGCTACGAAGCGGAAAGTCGACAAGCGAACATCAAGAAGTCTCGAGATGTCGCCGCATCGACCTTCTAAAAAGTCGCCAAAAATGTCACCGGACAATTTACCGAGTATCGTGCGGAGTGAACTGATGCGGGATCGCTGGCGCACGCCTCGATTGCCACGGCAATCCGCATCATGTCCTCCCAGGAAGTTTTGCCGCCACTCGAATTTAACAAACAAAAAATTCTTGCTGGGGAAAACTCGACAAGCCGCTAACATCCAGCGTTGAGAGATGCTCGGTGTTTTCTCTTTTTTTTATTCGAATAAGTCTCGCCTATTCAAATCAAAGTTTGTTCTACTCGCGAACGGGATAGATAAGTCTCGCCTATTCAAATCAAAGTTTGTTCTACTCGCGAACGGGATAGATAAATTTTTTGCAATCCCTAATTTAGTTTCTTCCGGGCACGCTCAATACATTTTAAGTCAAGATATGCGACATGTGACAGACTCCGTCGAATCACAGATAGGTACAGTCAGGAAGTTACTTTACAAACAACGCATAAACATTGTGCGTGATGCATGCATTGGGCCCGTTACAGAGAAACACATTTTTTTTTTAATGATAAGTTGGTTAACTTGTGCATCGTAAGACGTTGTTTTGCCACTCTGTCATAACGGTCAGTTGGCGAAGGGTTAATCCCAGGCCCACTTCGGATCTTAGCCAGTGCTGAGGTTCGAACTTAAGTTGCCGGAATAAGTAATGTGCCTCCGTCGTAAAGCATCCAAAAGAGCGTGGAAATATTTTCACCGTTGCAAGGTCAACAATGAAAATGCCCGCAGCCTCAGGTTTATTTTAAGTGGGGAAGAAGATACTTCAAATTAAACTTTGACCAGACCGTAACATTTGCGCCGCGCGAAACTCATGCAATTCTTTTTTTTCTTTACTGAAACAAACGTTTCTCTTTTGCGTGTGTACAGGAAGCTTGCTCGGAGGAGACTTGACGGTGTTGACTGGTGCAGGCACCAGTCCTTTAGGTGAGCACAGAGTGACCTTCAGAACGTGACCCTCAGAGTGACCCTCACCGTGACCCTCACAGTGACCCTCAGAGTGGCCCTCAGAGTGACCCTCACCGTGACCCTCACAGTGACCCTCACCGTGACCTTCACCGTGACCCTCAGAGAGTGACCCTCAGAGAGTGACCCTCACCGTGACCCTCAGAGTGACCCTCACAGTGACCCTCACCGTGACCCTCAGAGTGACCCTCACCGTGACCCTCAGAGTGACCCTCACAGAGTGACCCTCAGAGTGACCCTCACCGTGACCCTCAGAGTGACCCTCACAGAGTGACCCTCAGAGTGACCCTCACCGTGACCCTCAGAGTGACCCTCACCGTGACCCTCAGAGTGACCCTCACGGTGACCCTCACAGTGACCCTCACCGTGACCCTCACAGTGACCCTCAGAGTGACCCTCACCGTGACCCTCACAGTGACCCTCAGAGTGGCCCTCACCGTGACCCTCACCGTGACCCTCACAGTGACCCTCAGAGTGACCCTCAGAGTGACCCTCACCGTGACCCTCACCGTGACCCTCAAAGTGACCCTCACCATGACCCTCACAGTGACTCTCAGAGTGACCCTCAGAGAGTGACCCTCACAGTGACCTTCAGAGTGACCCTCACAGAGTGACCCTCAGAGTGACCCTCACTGTGACCCTCACCGTGACCCTCAGAGTGACGCTCACAAAGTGACCTCCAGTTTTCCTGCCCCGAATGGAGTACTGCCTTTCCCTCGTGGTTACTGGAGTGAGTAGCAGTCCGCCAGACCCTCTCTAGTCCACAGGACACATTCCATGTGGCCAGCCACGGTGGCTTCCTGCTGTTTCTGGGTTCAGTCTCCTGGTTTATCACCAAATGGGGCTTGGCCACAAGACATCACAGATGCCTGTCCCCCCCCCCCTCCCCCGAGGCCTTTGGCACAATCGTATTTTGATCATTAAGTGAAACAAAATGTTGGTAATTGACTTGAAGGTGGAGGGGTCACCAGCCCCTCGCACCAGGTTACTCATGTGAGGCTGAGTCGACCTAGCGGAGGCCCGGGACCTATTCAGGTAATCGTCACTGGTGTTGGTGGCCGGGTTGGTGGCCGGGTTCGTAGCGCGTACGTACGTACACGCACACACACACAGGGACACGTGCGGGGATGCGACAGGTACAACGCAACGCATCAACCTGCTATTAGAGAGAGAGAGAAAATCCCAAATAAATAAATAAGTAAGCACAAAGTATAATTTACACTTGTAAAGGCAGCCATGCACACAGTCTTTTTTTAAACACCCATTAACAGGCACAAAGCCGCACTCACAGCGCCGAAGACTGTGATGTAGTGTGTGAGCGCGCGCGTGTGTGTGAGCGAGATCGCGTGCGTGTGCGCGAACACGCGTGTGCGTGAGCGTGTGCGGAGCGGTGGTGCAGTGGTTAGCACGCTGTGCTGCATACCCAGCGACCTGCATCAGTGACGAATATCTGAATTGGTCCTGGGCCTCCCCTAGGTCGACTCAGCCTCAAGTGAGTACCTGGTGCGATGTGTAAACCTCGCCACTGGGGAGGCAAAGGCGGCCGGCCGGACGTGGTTGCTGGCCACTCACGCCTTCCAGTGCCGTGCCGGCCTTCATAGGTGCTAACTTGCTAACAGCACTTTCCCCAACAGTCTGTTAAGGCTTAAGGGAGAATCTTTGTCGTTGTGTGAGCGTGTGAGTGTGTGCAGACCTATGTGTGTGAGTGTGATTGTGAGTTTTAGCGCGTGTGAGCGCGTGGGGAGCGGTGGCGCAGTAGTTAGCGCACTGCACTACGAACAATCTTTAGCTGGTCCTGGGCCTCGTATAGGTCGATTCAGCCTCGAATTAGTACCTGGTGCGGTGAAGTAAACCTCGCCACTGGGGAGACAAAGGCGGTCGGACGTGGTGCTGGCCACTCACCTCTTTGTGTGCTATGCCGGCTTTCATCGGTGCTACTTGCCCCAACAGTCTTTTAAGGCTCCACGGGTGGTCTTTGTTTGTGGTTGTGTGCGGTGTGTGAGTGTTTTTTTACACGTAGGACAAAACTGAAATGCCCAGCGAATACCGACGCACACGAGGGAGGATAACGCTCATTGCTCCGCACAGATAGGATGAGCAACTGTGATTTGTTGATGGGTACGCTTTGTACGGGTCGCTCATGACCGACGGCCCCTGAATGGGCATCTGTGAAAAAGAGCTTCACGGCTCATCAGATTTCCCCACGATAAATAAACATCCCGATTCTAATGACTGTCTGTGCGTACGTGTACATCACGTGCTTGTTGTGTTCCTGTGCCACCAGCAAACGGCTACCCTCATCAGAGAGGGTCGCCGGGCATTCTGGGCCCTGGTGGTCACGTGATCCGGCCTGGGGGGGGCGGCCTGGCCGCCAAGAGCCCCCCCCTGCCGCAAGGGCACCCCCTGCGCAAGCCAGACCTGCGAGCGGTTGTGCCCCAGAGTTGCAAGAATCCTGCTGGCAGCATGGTGAGTACCGAGATGACGGCGGTGGCAGTACGGGTGGTGTGGCTGTGAAGTGTGGGTGTGAGTGATGGCACAGTCGGTGGTGTGGCTGTGAAGTGTGTGGGTGATGGCACAGTTGGTGGTGTGGCTGTGAAGTGTGGGTGTGAGTGATGGCACAGTTGGTGGTGTGGCTGTGAAGTGTGTGGGTGATGGCACAGTTGGTGGTGTGGCTGTGAAGTGTGGGTGTGAGTGATGGCACAGTTGGTGGTGTGGCTGTGAAGTGTGTGGGTGATGGCACAGTTGGTGGTGTGGCTGTGAAGTGTGGGTGTGAGTGATGGCACAGTTGGTGGTGTGGCTGTGAAGTGTGTGGGTGATGGCACAGTTGGTGGTGTGGCTGTGAAGTGTGGGTGTGAGTGATGGCACAGTTGGTGGTGTGGCTGTGAAGTGTGTGGGTGATGACACAGTTGGTGGTGTGGCTGTGAAGTGTGTGAGTGATGGCACAGTTGGTGGTGTGGCTGTGAAGTGTGTGGGTGAGTGATGGCACAGTTGGTGGTGTGGCTGTGAAGTGTGTGGGTGATGGCACAGTTGGTGGTGTGGCTGTGAAGTGTGTGGGTGATGGCACAATTGGTGGTGTGGCTGTGAAGTGTGTGAGTGATGGCACAGTTGGTGGTGTGGCTGTGAAGTGTGGGTGTGAGTGATGGCACAGTTGGTGGTGTGGCTGTGAAGTGTGGGTGTGGGTGATGGCACAGTTGGTTTTGTGGCTGTGAAGTGTGGGTGTGAGTGATGGCACAGTTGGTGGTGTGGCTGTGAAGTGTGGGTGTGAGTGATGGCACAGTTGGTGATGTGGCTGTGAAGTGTGGGTGTGAGTGATGGCACAGTTGGTGGTGTGGCTGTGAAGTGTGGGTGTGAGTGATGGCACAGTTGGTGGTGTGGCTGTGAAGTGTGGGTGTGAGTGATGGCACAGTTGGTGGTGTGGCTGTGAAGTGTGGGTGTGAGTGATGGCACAGTTGGTGGTGTGGCTGTAAGGTGTGTGTGTGTGATGGCAGAGTTGGTGGTGTGGCTGGAAGTGTGTGTGTATGTGTGTGATGGTGGTGTGCCGCTCAGTATGTGAGTGACGGCACAGTTGGTGCTGTGGCTGAAAGTGTGTGTGAGTGACGGCATAGTTGGTGGTGTTGCTGATAGTTTGTGGTTGATGGTGGTGTGGCAGTCGGCGTGGTTGTGAGTGAGCGATGCAGAATGGGTGGTGTGGCTGGAAGTGTGTGGATGATGGTGGTGGTGTGACTGAGAAGTGTGTGTGTGAGTGATGGCACACTTGGCGGTGTGGCTGGAAGTGTGTGGGTGATGATGGCGTGGCTGGAAGTGTGTGGGTGATGGTGGCGTGGCTGGAAGTGTGTGGGTGAGTGATGGCACATTTGGCGGTGTGGCTGGAAGTGTGTGGGTGATGGTGGCGTGGCTGGAAGTGTGTGGGTGATGGTGGCGTGGCTGGAAGTGTGTGGGTGAGTGATGGCACATTTGGCGGTGTGGCTGGAAGTGTGTGGGTGATGGTGGCGTGGCTGGAAGTGTGTGGGTGATGGTGGCGTGGCTGGAAGTGTGTGGGTGAGTGATGGCACATTTGGCGGTGTGGCTGGAAGTGTGTGGGTGATGGTGGCGTGACTGAGAAGTGTGTGAGTGAGAGAGCGAGGGCGCAGTTGGGTGGTGTGTTCGATTTCTGGCTGGTGTGGCCAGAAGTGAGTTTGGCGAGCGCGCCAACAGGGACGGTCTTTTACGCCCAACCACGACGGCGCCAACGGACGAGTGGGCGCCGTGCGCACGCCCCGATGATCCCGGCGGCGGCGGCGGCGATGAAAGCGGGCGACGAGGGGAGGGGTGGGGGGGTGGCGAGCCGTGTCGTCCGCGACAAAGCCAAACGCTCACCGCTCCATCGTCTTGTTGCGAAATCCCGTGAATTTCATAATCTATTACTCGTTATCCCAACGTCCCTTCGTTGCAGTTTGAGCGGGGGTGCGGTTTGCGGTGGGAGAGGGGGTGAAGGTGGGGAATGGGTGGGGGGGGTAGTGGTGGTGGTGGGGGGGGGGACAGCGACACACACAGAAAAAAATGTGCCGAATATAACAGCTCAGTGTCTTGGTCACTGAGACGGCTTAATTGGCATCACAACTTTGGAGGGGTGTTAATGGGGATTTGACGATTTGTGAGACGTCTGTGTGCCCGTGTTATGCAAAATAATTGGACTTTCGGATCGTGCAATACAGTATTTAAAAAGACCTGTCAAGCCACGGTAACGTGTTAAAACGCTAATGATGGGCATTAATTACATATATACTTTTTAAAATATGTATTTCTATATATATAGGCATGTCCGCACGTAGACAAAATTAAAAAGGATGTTATATAACACACGTTGTTAGCGAGCTGCACCTGGCGAGCCCAAGTTTGATTCCCGGCCATGGCCAACGTCACCGTGGCGAGCGCTGTCCAAACCCATCGGAGGAATCTGGTGAGCTGCGAAGCTCTTTGTCGCAGATGCGCAGTCAAAGCCTTACTGTCACCAGCGTGCTCGATCAACCCCCGGGGCGAACATGGTCACGTGGGGAGACATTCATCGAGCAGTGGATTTGGCCAAAGGCCCCCCCCCCCACCCCCCGTGCATTATGGGTTTAAAAATGTATTTGATAAAATATTCTCGTCAATTCTTGCCCTTAGCAATATGTTCAGGAGCTAAACGCCAATGTTGAGGTCTGCTCGCCACGAGAGGGCTTAAGGAGAGATAATGTAATTTATATGCATGCATTAACCACGCCCCCCCCCCCCCCCATTCCTCTGGCCTTCGCAACCATGACTGGCTCACAAGTGACGACATCACATTTATCCCCTCTATTAAAGACCGAAACAGGAGGATTTCTCCACAAGCCTGGCTCTCCGCCTGATGATGCTGGTCGATGTAATTACCGGCGAAACGTCACGGCACTCGAATTGTAAATAAATGTAGCGGGTTCACTCTCCGACACACCGGTGTGCTGTGCTAGTAACGAATTGGCCACGTTCTGTTTACGTGACAAACCTTACTGATTGGCTGTGTCGGGTGGTGGCGGGTTTAACGACACATTTATATATTTACGTGATCTAGCCCAAAAACCTGTGTTATGGATCATATTGGTCGTGAAAGCCTACCACGTGTTACACTCAAGGAGACAGTTTCTCTATAAAACATTTCCTTATCTGCTTTTGCCCCCTGTCAACTGCTAGAGCTTTTAATGGCACGTAAAGATGAAATCGCATTTATAAGCATATATATGCGTGTTTTTATTACCGAGAAAAAGACATTATTTCAGTAAGTTGCGGTCTAGATACAATAACGTTTGCATTAAAGCTGGTATGAAGCCATTTTACAGCTCTCAATGGAGATTTACATTCGATGCTTAAGCTCACAGTCAAAATAAAGCAGTCTTTAATCGCCGCCAACAGTAAAATTACACTCGTTTAAAACATTTCAAAAAGGAGTTAGCTTTTGCTTTGCTTAATTTTTGAATGACGTCTCTGTGACTTTATATCCCCTTGCAGAATCAAAGGTTAACAAATTCCCACGCTTTGCAAGCCTTGGTGACACCCAGCCAACTCAGCAGCTACCAACCAAACTACAGCACAGGTGAGTGTAACCTCCTTCCCACAATCCCTTGCACTGCGGCCCCTTTTGCGACTTTAACACGGCACGAGTACGTACGTGCGTGGAACTTCTTTCCCGCCGTACGTAGCCAACCGTGCGAATCGGAGGTACGGTGGTGGGGGGGTGGGTGGGGGGGAAGGACAACAAACGAAACACAAAAAGATTTCTGAAGCAATGCGTTTTCAATGTAGATTATTTAAAAGTTGCATAGCTCCAGTGGCTTCCTAATATCGGATGGAAGAGCGTTCCAGACGGCCGCAGAAACGATCGCCGTTCGACGCTTGTGCTCCGCGCTACGATTTGATTGGGTTGGCCGAGTCGGTCGGTGGGTCGGTCGGTGGGGAGTTCTTATCACCACAGGCTTGTGACGTAACCTGCGAGCGGACCACTTTGCGTACGCGTCAGATCTCGGAGGCTAAGCGGGGGTTTTAGACTGGAGAATGCTTGGAGGGGGGCGACCGTCGAAGACGCCTGCTGACTGTTGAGAAACCTACACACGCGACGCTGGGGCCGCATAACCTCGTGGCCACGAGTTGGACGGCGGCTGATGGAAGACAGAGGAGAGAACCGTGGAGGCAGAGCGACGTGCAGGACCGCGGTGGACTGTGACGCCGTGGGACTGTTTAGGAATGACGACGGTGTGGGGGGGATAGCCCTCATCCAGCAGTGGAGAGACTATGACTGCTCATGAGCATGATGATTGGATTTGCTGATAATAACAATAATTTACGGAACTTTGTTCAATCCACCGCTGGATGAAGGCCTATCCTCCCGATGTCGCGTCGGTCATAGGGGGCTGATCGACCATAATTCACCATGCTCACTCTGGTCAGCAGTGCGGGCTGGCGCCAGAGTATTATAAATATGTATTTTGTTTACACGCCCTCATTAGCTTGTGAGTAAATTTATTGCCTAACAATTTAGTACATTCACAGGGGGGGGGGGTGTATATACGAGGCCCCCCAAAAGGCAGCTCACTCCAGTCACAAACTACCTCCGTGCGTTTTCTCGTCAAACAACAAAAAAAAGGACACTTTACCTAAAGTGGCTTTCAAATAAAGCATTTCATTGATGGGGCCTGGAATTTAAGCCGAGACATTCCTCGCTTTCTCTGTTTCGCTTTTCCGAATAAAATTCCTAAGATTCCCCCCTCCTCCCTCCCTCCCTCCCCCCGGGAAACGAAACGCGAAAACAAAACGAAACGCGAAACCCTCGCGAAGCTATTCCGCGGCGAGTCGTGTTGGTGCCCAGCGTCGACTCTTAGCCGCGGGTGGCGGTGCGGCGGTGGCGGTGGCCCTGCTGACCGGCGGGAGGGCCCAGGGAACGTGGCAGGGCCGCTCGGTGTTTTCGGTTTTTTTTCCGCGGCTCTCCCGTAGAGTTTTTAGGGGGGGGGGGGGTCGTGTCCGCACGACGTTCGACGTTTCGCCCCCCCCCCTCCTCCTCCCCACGAACCCACGTGCTCGCAGCTTCCTCAGCGACTTAACTTGAGTATCGGAGGTGCGGGGTGTGTGGGGGGGACGACGACGACCCGAAACTGGCGTCGACAATCGGAGGGGCGTTTTCAATCCGATGGGGCTGGGGTAGATAAATCATCTGGTGGGGGGGGCGGGGGGGGCGCCGGGGGGGGCGGCCCAGTTTGTTTTTAAGTGAGACGCTCGAGTCGGATAAAAACAAAACAAAACAAACGACTACGCACCGGGGCGGCGGCGGCGGCGGCGGCGTCAAATCGCTCGACGCGCGGCCGCAGCCACCGGCGTCTTTACACGGTGGGCGCGGTTTTTTTTTCTTCCCTTCTTCCAACCGCGCCGAAACGGGCGTACGGCAAACAGAAAGGAAGGAAGAAAAACGCGCGAGACGGAAAACATCTGGGGAAATGGCAACGCCGCGAGAGTAGCGGTTCCGGAACACAGGCGCAGCCCCGGCAACTGCTCGCCCGCCCGCTCGCTCGACCGCCCGCCACGTTGCTTAAACTATCATGTATATATTTTTTATTTTACCGGGTAAGGCCCACTGAGCTACGTAGCTCTGTTTCAGAAGCGACCTGGTCGCACAAGTGATAGCTCAACGAAGCGGTTTGTCATCAAATGTTTTTAGCGGCCAAAATGCTCCGTGATTCTAAACGCGGAGGGAAAATCCGGAGAAAAATCCACGGGGAGAACATGCAAACTCCACATTTACAGGGTTATCAGGGTTTGGATCGAACCCTCAACTTCCTGTATACCAGGAAAATGGGTTAACATCTCACCACCGTGCTAGCGGAAGGGCTTCGACTGGAGGGAGCTCCACAAAGACCCGTCTAGAGGGAGGGTGATTTGGCCTACTCTTTCTTCCATGCTGGCCAAACGTCTTGGAACTGGTTGCAGTTCCCACACTTTACTACCCCACCACACACAAACCTGCCGACCATAGGCTATCTCTGCTGTAAACTATGGGATACTTTTCGCCGGTGTCAAAACGATGTGTGGCCCATGCAGACTTGACGTGTCTCTTTGATGTTTGAACATCTCGACGCAATGTGGTGAAGCATGTTCTCTTTTTTCATCATTTTAATACCGGCAACAAAAAAAACACAAGAGTCCAAACAGGTAGAATTGCTTAGCCCGAGCTTATTAATGTTTTGACATTTGCATTTCCTTTTGCGCTGTTCGCCTGGTTGAACACCGGTGGTGACACAAGGCCATGAAGGAGGCTGTAGCTGTGGTGTGTCGGCTCAATCAGTTTCAAGGACATTGCATATTTGATAATCGACGTGTGTTTGTTGCCATGTTTTGCCACAAGTATGATGTGTGGTTAATGCGGCCTTGATGCCTTGAAACAGGTGTCTCTGGCGTTTGGACATCTTAACACCTACTGTATTATCGCCGGAAAGGGCAAAGCCGATTATTCTTTTTCCCATTAAGTCTGGTGTAGTCATTATACAGGATATACGGCTGGCATCCGAGATGCATTCATACAGCAGTGGAATGTTTTTTGTTTTGTTGAAATTCAAATGTTTCCTCGTGAAATGGGAATATTTCTTTTGAAGCGAGAGTGGTTGTTAATTTAGCAAGCTAACAATAACACCTATACATGTCTAAAACAATAACACGTGCAATCTAAAAACATTTCAAACCGTGAAATTATATGTAGACTGATAATAATTATTTCAACGGCAATAAATAACGAATTAATGACTGTTGAATGGACTCAGTCTTATGTGACTCAACTGCAGGGATGAAGGCCTCCCTCCAACACTTCAGCGTCGGCCTTGTGGGGTTGTTTGACCATACTTCACCACACTGGTTAAGTGCATAGCTATCAACCCATACGGTTTACCCCGTATTCTTTTACAGAGACATTGAGTTTTCAGGTCCATACGGCGTGCAGCCGTTTCAATACGGGAGATAAAAAATGTCTATTTGTTTGTGTTTCTCCCTTGTGATGGAACTTTGTAGGATGAACGTTGAGATTTATAAGGGCACGGGGTGACCAATAAGGTCCGAATTGGTCTGTAATAAAAGTAGGACACTGATAAGGGGTTGCCAGGTACGAGATTGGCTCCAGTGAGTGGGAGCTAATAAATAAACAAACGCACAAAGGGAGCTTGTGAATAAGTAAACAGCAAACGCCAACAATTAATAAGTGAGTTAACACGTCGGCTTTCGCGACTAGTATGATTCATAATAAAGGTTTTTGGGTTAGATCGCGATCTAACCCAAAAATCTTTATTATTAATTAATAAGTAAGTTCAACCATATTCACCCGACTGAAGTTTTAATAAAATCAAATGTGTAAACATTAACATCACGCGCATATGAGCTCATTGCTCTGGTGTGAGAATAGCGGCCTTCACACTACAACACAAAGCAACGTTTTATAAAAAAAAAATTTTGCGAGTTTTAACTCGAAAAAAATCCCTCCGGTCAAAGCCGGATGTAAGCACACCTTATATAAGCACTGTTCTGATATAAGCAACACGTGCTTGCTTGCTTACATTACACCGCTGGTTAAATGAGGACACACAGGATACTCAGCTTCAATGGGTTTTACTCGGAAAATACACCTCTGAAACGTGAGCTTCTGATACAAGCACACCACTTCACTCCGGATATAAGCACACCTCTTGGGCTAGCTTCCAAAGGGTTGTTAGCGTAGTAGGATTTTGCGACCAATATCCATAATATAGGGGTTTTTTTTGGATTAGATCGCGTTAATATAGAAATGCGTCGTTAAACAGGCCAATTCGTTACTAGTACAGCACACCGGTGTGTTGTAAATGTTGTGGATTTTCTCTCCAACACACAACCGGTGTGCTGTACTCGCAACAAATTGGCCACGTTCTGTTCACGTGACAAATTTTACTAGTTGGCCGTGTCGGGTGGTGGCGGGTTTAACGACACATTTATATATTTATGCGATCTAACCGCACAAAAAGCCACGTATCATGGAGGGTTGCCGGTGTGTTGACGGGAGCGTCTTCTCTTTCTTCCTTGTGCTTGATTACCCTTTAAATAAAGCACGCGGGCCCGAGGTTGGGGTGGGGTGGGGGTCCCACACGACTGCCGACTTGACCTTGCAGAAGGAAGCTGTGCGCCTGATGACAGACTGAACGGGTTGTTGTTGATGTTTGTTGTTGATGGTTGTTGTTGTTGGCGTAGATTGGTACGGTACGGGTAGTGGTCGAGATCAGCGGTGATTGGGGGAGGGCCGCGCTACAAACCCGGCTACGACCCGAGTTCAATTCCCCCGCTCACGGCCAACACCAAGTGACGATTGTCTGAACCGGGTCCTGGGCATCCTCCCCTAGATCGACTCAGCCGCAAATGAGTACCCGGTGCGGTGTTGTAGTGAAGCTGAACAGGTCTCCGTGCGTCCACTGTTACCCATAATATAGGTGGAAGGGTTAGATCGCGTCGATATGAATGTGTCGTTAAACCCGCCGCCACCCGACACAGCCTAATTGTGATGGTTTGTCACGTTAACAGAACGTGGCCAATTCGCTACGAGTTCAGCACCAACCGGTGCGTTGGAGAGTAAGCCCACAACATTTACAGTCTCGAGTCCTGTGACATCTCGCCGGAGTGGCGATGGAGTAACGTCGATGTAGTCGTAGTAACATCGCCACTCGGGAGACAGAGGCGGCCGGGCGTGGTTGCTGGCCACCCAACCGCCTCGTACGCCGTGCCAGTTGTATAAATCATCGTGATTATGACGGTCTTACCGCCCCTGCTTGCTTCGGAATTAAAATTCAAGAGCGCCCTCCAGCGTCTGGAAAAGAGTGTTCACTCACTGAGGCCAATGCATCGCGGGGCCTCTGCAGGCGTGGCCCTGAGGTCGGCCCACCCACAACCACCACCACCAAAATTAAAATTGAAAACTAATTTCTTTAAAACTGGCCTTGTGCTTTTAGTTTGTTGTCCTTCCCCCGCACCTCTGATTATCACGGTTGGTTACGTATGGTGCTCAAGAAGTTCAACATGCGTACAACATACAACCAGCCTGCCCTGTGGCGTGCCACGTGAACCTCGTTACAGACGGTGCCACCACCGTTCGCGTCGTCATCATCATCATCGTCGTCGTCGTCGCCGTCGACGATGGGAATTTAGAACCCGCCACGATCGAGTTGGCCGTGTCGCGTCGGTCGGTCGTCAGATTGACAAACTCATTTCTTCAGACGTGCTGTCTGTGTTCACTTTGTCTTCCTTCTGCTCCCGTCACCTCCGATTAGAGGCGGTTGGCTACGTACGGTGCTCAAGAAGTTTGAACGTTGCGCGCGTCGGTGACCCGTGCTCCGTGTGTTGTCCGTCGCAGAATACGCGCTGTCGAGCGCCGACCTGTCGGGTCTCACGGGGTTCAACTCTCCTGGCTCGTTAAGCATCAGCTCCCTCTCCAACTGGCACCACCAGCAGGGCACCAACATCAACCAGCTGCTGTGAGTGGCACTCGGAGCACAGCGGGCGGGCGTTGGTTCAATGGCTCGCTCGCACGCTCATCCATTTACTCATCCAGCCACTCTCTCGCTCATTCAACCACTCGCTCACTCGCACGCTCAGTTGCAGCACTGCCCCCAACGACTCAACACTGTCCAAAGACTCAGCACTGCCCCAAGACTCAATACTGCCCATAGACTCAACACTAACCATAGAGTCAACACTGCCCATAGACTCAACACTACCCATAGACTCAACACTGCCCATAGACTCAACACTAATCATAGACTCAACACTGCACCATAGACTCAACACTGCCCATGGACTCAACACTGCCCATGGACTCAACACTGCCCATAGACTCAACACTGTCCATAGACTCAACACTAATCATAGACTCAACACTGCACCATAGACTCAACACTGCCCATGGACTCAACACTGCCCATGGACTCAACACTGCCCATAGACTCAACACTGCCCATAGACTCAACACTAACCATAGACTCAACACTGCCCATGAACTCAACACTACCCATAGACTCAACACTGCCCATAGACTCAACACTAATCATAGACTCAACACTGCACCATAGACTCAACACTGCCCATGGACTCAACACTGCCCATGGACTCAACACTGCCCATAGACTCAACACTGCCCATAGACTCAACACTAACCATAGACTCAACACTGCCCATGGACTCAACACTACCCATAGACTCAACACTGCCCATAGACTCAACACTAACCATAGACTCAACACTACCCATAGACTCAACACTACCCATAGACTCACCACTGCCCATGGACTCAACACTGCCCATATAGTTTAACACGTAGGCTTTCGCGACCAATATTATTCATAATAAAGGTTTTTGGGTTAGATCGCGTTTATTTATAAATGTGTCGTAACCCTCCACCACCCGACACGGCCAATCAGCAAAAAAAGTGTCACGTTGACAAAAGACAAATAATTCACTACTTCAGCCCACCGGTGTGTTGAAGAATTAATCCACATTTACAGTTTGAGAACGACGTTTCGCTGGTAAATACATCCAGCATCATCGGGCAATTCGCCAGAATGGTAAAGCCCTCGCTTGCTCCCGGTTTTATATAGAGCAGCAGGGTGACGTCATCACTTAACTCATATCAGGTGCAGTGATTAGAGGCGGAGGGGGGGTATTGTAATTATATAATCGATTAGTAATCAGTCATTGGTTATGATTAGTAATGAGTTGTAGATTAGTAATTCTTTAAATGAAAATGTAATGTGTATTATTTAATAATACGCTTATGGAGAGGGGATTTCTTTAAACAAAAGGAAGGAGCAGCAATGGGTTCTCCTTTATCCCCTGCTATAGCAAATTTGTACATGGAAAACTTTGAAATAAGAGCACTTGCCTCGAGCACATTAAAACCATCCTTTTGGTTTAGGTATGTGGATGACACTTTGGTTGTCTGGCCACATGGTAAAGATACACTTAATGATTTTCTAAATCATCTCAATGCACAAAACCCGGCCATCCAGTTCACCATGGAAATGGAGGTGAATAACACACTCCCATTCCTAGATATTTGCTTGGACATGGCCTAAACGGTAAAATAACACACAGCGTTTACAGAAAGCAAACGCACACTGATGCCTATCTGAATGCAGAATCACATCATCATCCAGCTCAGAAATCCTCTCTTATCAAGACGCTCATACATCGGGCCAAAACAGTGTCAGATGGTGAGAGTCTAGTGAGAGAGATTAAACACGTTAAAGACGCACTATGACAGAATGGCTACAATAATGCTCAAATTAACAGAGCACTGAATGCCAAATCACGATTGCAAAGCAATATTGCTGAAAGCGACCAGATTGTCAAAACAATAAAAATTCCATATATCGCAGGAGTAACTGACAAATTAGCCCGTGTTTTGCAAAAGCAAAACATTACAGTAAGATTTGGTACAGTACACAAAATTCAAAAACTAGTATCTTGCACTAAAGATGCATTACCTAAACTATCAACAGAAGGTGTATATCGGATTAATTGTTCATGTGGCAGCTGCTACATTGGGCAGATGGGACGTAACATCAGCGTAAGACTAAAAGAACATCAGAGAAATATTAAATTATCTCAAACACAACTGTCGGCAGTGGCAGAACATGCTTGTCAACAAGGACACTCAATTGATTTTGACAATGTTGCAGTGGTGTGTAAAACTAATTATTACTGGCAAAGACTAATTAGAGAATCCATTGAAATTGAGAGGAACAAGAATAACTTTAATCGCTCTGACAGCTACCGGCTTAGTGCGGCCTGGAAGCGTATTATTAAATAATACACATTACATTTTGATTTAAAGAATTACTAATCTACAACTCATTACTAATCATAACCAATGACTGATTACTAATCGATTATATAATTACAATACCCCCCCCCTCCGCCTCTAATCACTGCACCTGATATGAGTTAAGTGATGACGTCACCCTGCTGCTCTATATAAAACCGGGAGCAAGCGAGGGCTTTACCATTCTGGCGAATTGCCCGATGATGCTGGATGTATTTACCAGCGAAACGTCGTACTCAAACTGTAAATGTGGATTAATTCTTCAACACACCGGTGGGCTGAAGTAGTGAATTATTTGTCTTTTGTCAACGTGACACTTTTTTTGCTGATTGGCCGTGTCGGGTGGTGGAGGGTTACGACACATTTATAAATAAACGCGATCTAACCCAAAAACCTTTATTATGACTGCCCATATACTCAACACTAACCATAGACTCAACACTAATCATAGACTCAACACTGCCCATAGACTCAACACTGCCCATAGACCCAACACTGCCAATAGACTCAACACTAACCATAGACTCAACACTGCCCATGGACTCAACACTGCCCATAGACTCAACACTGCCCATAGACCCAACACTGCCAATAGACTCAACACTAACCATAGACTCAACACTGCCCATGGACTCAACACTGCCCATAGACTCAACACTAACCATAGACTCAACACTGCCCATAGACTCAACACTAACCATAGACTCAACACTAACCATAGACTCAACACTGCCCCTGTGCTTTAAGCAGTCCCCCTCCTTAACCTCTTTCTGTTCCTCTCTGGAAGCCTCACCTCTTCTCCATCGCCCATTGCCCTCCTCTCCCCTCCCCTCGCCCCTCCACTCCGTCCCATCCCTCCCCCGTAGCCCTTTAGTGACCCCCACGCGCCCTGAATTTCGGTCACACGCTCCTCGGGCCCTTGCACTAACCCCTGCCATCGAAACCCGCCGCTTTCAAAACTGCGTCACGGAGCACCTTGAGCCAACCAACGCCTTGTTCCGTCGCAGGTCGTGCGGCTACCCGAGCGTCAAGTCGGAGCCGCTGTCTCCGTCGCGGGACCCCATCTCGTCGGGCGGCGGTCCCGGCTACCCGGGGGCCGCCACCATGCAGCGGCAGGACCCCCTGGGGCGTCCGAGCGAACGCCTGAGCCCCTACGAGGGGGGCGAGCCGGACGACCCCTGCGGCGGCACCGGGGGCGATTACCTCATGCCTGCCGGGATGGGTCGGGCGGGGCAGCATCAGCAGCATCAGCAGCAGCAGCAGCATCATCAGCAACAGCAACAACAACAGCAGCAGCAGCATCATCAGCAGCATCATCAGCACCACCACCATCAGCAGCAGCAGCAGCAGCATGAGGCAAGCGGAGGGGAAGGGCCGTTGTTGAAGAGGGCGCGGCTCACGGAGAGTTGGGCGACGTAGGGCACCACGTGGCGTCGACGGAAACGGGGAAACCCCACGGCGGTCGTTAGCGGTAACAAACAAACAACAACAACAACAACGTTAGAAACAACGGCAACGCTTATTTTAACCTCCCCGCCCTCCCCCGCAAATTGAGAAAAATTTCTAATTTAATGTAGTCGTAATACTACTACTAATAATGGTATAAGTAAAGAAATTTATAAGAAAATAAAGGTGAGCATAAAGACTGGAGTGAAATATCACACACACACACACACGCAACAATGACAGCAGCAAAGTGAAAGCGAGGCGAACGTAACTTTAATAGAACTATCAACAACGGCGTCAACGAGCACATTTTTTTTTTTTTAAAACGCCGCGATTTCCCCCCCCCCCCCAAAGCGTCAACGTTTAAAAAACGACCGAGGCATTTACGGGTTGCGTACGTTTAATTTGAGCCGTTTAAAGCGAGACGGCCGAGCATTGTACCTGTACAGATTCAAAGCGCACCTCGCCTGGCACAACGGGCTCGCGCGGGGCCGCCGCTGCCATTGTGCTCGCGACGCGGGGCGAGGGCGGTTTAGAATAATGAAGAGATAAACAAGAAAACATGTTAACTTGCTGTTGGGGGGGGCGGGCACACTCCTCCGAGTGTGAACCACGGGCGCGGGGGGCGCGCGAAAGCCGCTGAGCGGTTGGGCGAGCGAGGCGAACAAAGCTGAGGAGTTATCGTTTTTATTTTATATACAAACTGTCCTGTTTAAATGAAAAAAAATGTTAAATATCAACGCGCACGCGCGCAAAAAAAATTGCACAACAACGAAACGAACAAACGGCAACGATCGTGCGTCTCGGTCGCAGGGGAAAACGTGAACCCTCGACCGACCGACCGTCGCGTTCGAGGCCGGTTTCCCTCGCAGCGGAGGGCGGTTGATCCCGTTTTAGAGACGCCCCGCCGGAATAACGGCGACATGCGGGTGCGTTCACCTAGGAGAGTGAAAAGACAAATTTTTACTTCGGAGTCCCAGCGGTAAGGTCGACGTGCTCCTCCTTGTAACGCTCAGCCTCCTCAAGGCACGGGGTGCGGTGAGGGCGGGCGGCGGGGGGGGGGGAGGTCAGCCGCGTTCGCAGCGTTCACCCGCCCGTTGAGAAGAGAGAGAGAGAGAAGAACTCTGTGGGGAGTCTGTACATGGATCGCCCTGTATTTTATCACGGGCAGCAGGGTCGCATGGTGAACCGGTCGTCGGCACGATTCACTGCCCCCTTACACCACCCCCCCCCCCCCCCCCCCATTCCACCCGTGGCGTCACCACGATTCAATTGCTAGGGCAACGTCCGATTATTTAAAGGTTCGATTGTGTTTTTGTCTCGTTTGGATTCGTTCGTCCCATCTCGTTCGTTCCATTAGCCCTTCCGTAGCCCCTTTGCGCGCGGATTGCACGCAAGTCGTAACCAAATCGGCTATCACCCCACAATTTTAATTTCTCAAACACACGCGTGTAAGAACCGATGTTAATCCGATTCGTTCCGTGCCTATGAACTGCGAAGCCGTCACGAACCACAGCAGAACTTTATCTCAAGCTTTGTTCATCGCCCAAAGCGTAATTTGGCCAGACATTACATGCAGGCGAAACTCTCATAAACAAAATAAAAGTCTTGGGGACTCAGGGAGGCTCTCCTAAGTCAACATATCGCAAATTGGAGAAGACATTTACGAGAACGTCACAGCTTTGTTGCTTTCCATAACCGATTGTTTCAAGCGGCATGGTTTTTTTGGGGATTTAGCGAATCGGCCGTTTGTCTCTGGACCCTTCCACAACCTACGGCACCTCCCTCGCGGCGGCGGCGGCGGCGCAATAAACCGGCCAAATGACCACGCGAGCGGTCCGAAGCCGCGGCCCTCCGTGGAGCCCGGCCTGTGGGCAGCGCGACGTGCGTCGAGGGCCTTCCTCCCCGACGCGACGCTCATCTCGAGGCAATCGCGGACGAACGGCGAGGGTTAGAGTGGTGGCGCCGTATCGAGATTCGCGCGCGCGCGCCGGTTTTTTGGTTTTCACCGCTGCGTCGATGGGTCGCGGCTAGCCCGGCGAGCGAATTTATTTTGGGTAAAGTGAGCGGGTGCAGTGGCGTGCGCGCCGCCCAAAACCGGCTGCCCTGCGTGTCGGCGTTTTTACTTTTTTCTTGTTTTCCCCCGCGATCGCGCTGAAGTGCGGCTCTCCGACGTGATTTCAGGGCGTGCCTGCGTAACTGCTCGGCACGGCGTCCGACGTTTCGCCCCACGTGCTGGGAGCGCAACGCGCGACAACCGCGTCCCTGAAAACACACCGGAAACCCCCAGCCTGCCTGACCTCGCTGCAGACAATCATAGATGCACAGCCAAAGGCTTGAGCGCAGGCTGCCACCCTGGATATCGTCTGCTAATTTAAAAAAAATATATATTGTAAAAATGAGAGCACACAAAACGACTTATTGGCATTTGTAGATTTTTTTTTATTGTACATGTTATTTTAATTAGTTTTATTGGGCGAGGACAGACCGTGTCCCCCTATGTATGATTGGTCAGACATGAGAAGCCATAAGGGTCTCTCGGAGATGCCTCTGACTGCGTGACCTCTCATCCCAAGCGCTCCGCGCAAACCTGCCCCGGCCATTGACAATCGATCAGCACCCTGCCGCGAAATAATTATTTTCAAATCTACGCACGTCAAAACATTTTCACGCTTTAGAGAGAAAACAATATATTTTTTTTCCAGCAGAGTGGACTTTCGTCACTGAATTTTCTTTTGGGTTTCCCTAGATATTTGTTGAGCTTGGTCGGCAAAGGAATGGGAAGACTCTGTCTTTTTATATCTATATATATTATAACTACTACTACTATTTATTGTCCTAGAATATTTATATTCTCTTGGAAAAGGCAGCGGCTGCTTGCACTGCGCAGGAGGGTAATCTTTCGACGGGCACGATCTGGCACTTGTTCATTTCACAAGTTCACGCGAGCAAACGTCGCATCTCGCAGTGTGAATGGAAGAAAAAAACACGCATTCAAGATTCGTGTTTTAGCATTCACTGTTAACTTGCGAACCGACGCAATAACAAGCCATATGTAAGTAACAAAACAAAACATAATACTTTCGCACGTCGTCACAACTTTGTATGGAACTCGAACAAAAAACACTTTGTCTGGCACTCTCAATAAGAAGGAATGCCACTTTGTAACAGCGTGGGGGAGCACGGTGGGGATGTGAATAATCGTTGAAAATGTATCATGTAGAATAAGACACCCATCTCACCTGAGATGAGAAACGGGGCGGGGGGGGGCACATGATTAGTAGCTGTGGTTTGTTGCATTGCATTGTGGGAAGTCTATACCCAGCCTTATAAGTCTTACCTAGGCCTCGCCATCCATCCCGTTTTTTTCCCCCCCAGGGATCGTCCTTCCTTTCGTTGGTAGCTGTCATCAGAATCCTGCCCAGCGGGCGCATTCCATCCTTTGGCTGCCATTCTTTCACCAGTCTCATCCATCCGCCATCATCGTCACTCCAAGTAGCGAAGAGACCTGTCTTACCCAAGCCCACGTACGTTTGTTAACAGTAAAAAAAAAACGCGACTTACAAAGCAAAAAGACCCACAGCATTTTTCCCCGTATTTTTTTGTTTGTTTTCGGTTCATTAACACTTTACATCGTTAGGTTAATTAAATCAGCCAACCTTACCTTCCCAGGTGTCTCCCATCATCACAAACAAAGACGCCCCAATGCGTGCCGTGCGGTGCGGAATGACGGCTCAATGACAGCGCCCCCCCCCCCCCCCCCCACTCCTCCACCCTGCCGACAATGAAACCCATGTTCCTTTCAGCAACTCGTTGTTAGCAACCGAATCGCCGGCGTGCACGTGGACGGACCAACGGGGGGGTCCTGCTCGCCAGGAGTGTGTCTGAAAGCCCGTCCGGTCTCAGAAGGTCAGCCTTGGCAAGCGCCACCGCACGTAGAGCGGCTGCCGTAGTGGATGCCGCAGGGCTACGCAGTGCCAGGGAAATCCGTAGAGTTGTACTCCTGCACCTATGCTCCCACGCTCTCTCTGCTCACGGGGCTTGACCAACCCGCATTAACCAGCGTGGTGAAGTATTGACAAATAACCTGTCATGACCCACAGGGCAGCTTTCGTGTTGTTTCGCTCTCATCTTTGCCCTGCTGACTTTTTCACCCCCCCCCCCCACACACAAACTCTTGTTCCGAGATCGGCTTTTGTCACGTGGCAGTCAAACTAATATTTGTAATTCTTCGAGCAGGAATTTAGCCAAATTCAGTGTGTAACCAAAGTTAACGTGATGGGTCTCTGGTGTGCAGTTGTTATTGTTGGTGACAGGGCTGAGACCATTAAATCGCTTCTCTTGGGGACCCAGTTTAACTACCTGAAACCCGAAATTCAAAACCAGGACCTCAGCAGTGTCCTCTGAGTCACCCCAGGCTCCTGGCATCATCAATGTTTCAAACAATTCTAAATTACTAATAGCAGTGATATTATGTTTTTGTTCGGTAAAACGTACGGATTTACAGACAGGGTCGAGTTGTATTATTATCATTATATTTAACAACTCTAAAATAAACTTTCGAGCTTTTGGAAACATGGACACGGGAGTGTGGTTTTGCTTGTCAACACACAGAAACAACAACAACAACACTCCCAATAATCGGACTCGGTAAACTTAAAAAATAAACGATAACACAAAATATCCTCATTGGTGGCTCCTCCCTTTTGTAATTCCGATGTCATTTGAAAAGTATTTTCCGTCGGCGGTTGGCAATTCACCGGCTAAACCCAGCGCACTCTTGCAATGATGCGAGGAATTGACGCCGTTCCGTGGTCGCGATTCGATTCCAGAACTGAATATTTTTTTTCTCAACCCAAACTCCGGCGATTGGTTTCGCGTCTCGAGTGGCTCCAGGGGTGACCTGAACCCACAACGCGCACACACAAATTGAAGGACTTCAAATATCCCGCGCGCGATTCCATGCGTGCGCCGGTGAGCTTAATAACCGCTTGTAGCCGATATTAATGAACGGGTCGATGCATCGTTACACCCCTGATTTTCAACGTTTTCACTCCGTTTCCGTTGTGTACGGAGACAAAGTTATCCTCGAGTTAGAACAACAATAATAAATAAATCAATAAAAATCTGATCTTGCGACCACCGATTAACAAAACAGTTCCATG